GGTATAGTAATCGTTACAAGTCAGGATGAGTTAAAGTATACTTTAACTAGAAGGGAATTTATGATGATGCAACATTGTGTTGGTTAAGACAAAATATATGTGTTGAATAAAATAGTAGAGTAGCCATCAGGTGATAGATATAAGTTAGGCTTACGAATTTTAAGGGAGAGCCTCATGATATTTAGATTGTAAGAACTAATTAGGCAATGATATATAGTGAACTAATTAGATAATGATGATTTTTAAAGGAGATCCCTATGATATTCACGAACTACGCTAATTTGATTCACACTTTTATTACGTACTTAAGCAACTCTCTTCGAATTAGGTTATACTTATTATAAAAAAGAAGAAGTTGTTTTCCTTTTTCAAAAATCATAATTTTAAAATTCTTTATTCAAAAAAGAAATTCCTTCCCCACCCCACCCAACCACAAAACAAACATAGAAGAGAAGAATTCTTAATTATATATTAAATCAATAACAAAAAAAAGAGAAGAAAAATAATTATGGTTGCCTCTTTTACTTTTTCAAAAAGAATGTACTTCACGGACCATGCGCACTTGATTTTACTTTTATGAGATCTTCAGTTACTTTTTTTGGATTTGGTATGTCTTATAAAAAGGTTTTATTTCAGAATCTAAAATATTGGATTGTTGAGTAACAAACATGTACTTACAAGGGCAACATTGTTGGAAGACTATTTGAACCTGTTATTTGAATCGACCCTTTTATATCATGATCGCATTGGTCATACCTTATTAGAATATCAAAATCAGATCCTCTATTTGATAATGAAGAAGAAACTATACGTCAACAATTGTATGGATATCTTTTCTAATATTACCACCAAATTTCTTTAGAAGAGAGAACCTTTTGGGAGCAGTTATGGGTAAGTCGCTTCATGTAGACATGGCCACAACGAATCAAATAAGACCAAGTTATTCAAGAGTGAAGGTAGAAGTGGATTCATAAGGGAAATTTTACAAATCCATATACATTGGCATGAAGAAGAGGAGTGAAGAAATTTTGAAAAAATGAATTCGGATAAAATGTGATTATGTTCTAAAATATTGCAATACATGCAAATAATAAGGAACAGTTCTATTGTTATGAATCATCCCTATCCAAATAACTATACGAACAAGTATATAAAGGGATAGATATTGGGACAAGTAGGCCCAATACAAGCAACAATGTCAGGCCTTCACAAAAGATAATTTGGGATCTACAATGAGGGTATTGTTAAATAGAACATGGCATCATTGTGAGAGGAAATCCTGAATTATGGGAAAGACAGTTTTCACGTTTCTCATCCCCAATTCTGAGTCTAAGCTTGTCATCTCCTTTCTGCCGTAGATCATTTCCCTAGTTCTCACGTTAAGTATCTCTATGACTATGTTTGGGTTTTTGTTGTATTCATTGTTTCATTTACTTTGTGGATTTGCAATTGAACTCTAGTCTTGTTAATTATATTGAGAAGTTGGTTACTGTTACATTGGTCTTGACTTCGTTACAACTATGCAAAACATTATGAACTATACCAAAAGAAGGAGACTATTGACAAATTAGTGAAAAATAGCAATGAGGAGGAAAGAAAATCTAGGAAGGTAGGTAACAACAAAGAGAAAGCTAATATGTTGTATCCTCTTAAACTATTTTGTATGTATATTCTTTCTTATGTCCCCCCTTTCCTCTATTTTCTTTTTCTACCTTCGTGGACTTTTCTGGTAACCCTCTTTAGCCTTTCTCAATGTTTAAAGTGCTACACGAACTATTATAATTTTAAGAGTAGAATTGCAAGGTGTTATAGAATTATTGGAGTACGAGCTTAGAAATTTTTGAGGTATTACAGTCACATCAAGTTATAATTGATACCTGAATTGATTCCACTAGCGGTCATTTTTGCAAAAAAAAAATCAATTTTTTTGTTTTTTTGGTCGATGGCAGATTTTCCAAAAGGATAAATCGATGATGTTTTAAATTTAGGCCTTTATTTTCCCATTTAATTAGAAACTAACCCTACCCTAATCATCCAATTACCTTTTGATATATCTACAAATAGCTTCCCACTTCTTCATTTCTTCCCTTTTCTTTGTTAAATTTCTGTTAATCATTAACTCTGGTAATTTTTGGCTTTATTATGTTTAACTTACAACATTTACATGGATAATCCTACTCTTCCTCGAAGATGAGGAAAAATAAGTCTAGTGTGATGATATTATAAGCAACCAACTGAACATATGATTCAGTGTCTACTTTAATTATGGTGAAACATATAACTAAAAATTTGTATAGAAATATGTAGTGAGGATATCCTTTTTTTTCTGCATAGGCATATCCACTCACATGCATTTCTTTCTTAAAATTTGAATTTAAATTTCCATATGATTACTTGTTTATTGAGGTCAAAATGATAGAATTTCATCTAAACCTATGATGATGAATGTATACACTAAAACCCTTGATAAAAAAAACTTTTATTACAATTTGATTCAATTTATAAACAATACTCAAAAATCCATGAACTGCCAAACATGGATAGTTTGGGGCTTTCAGGAGTATGTTTAGGGTTCTATTATTTTAAAAAATAAGTGAAAGTATTTTTTTGGTTAAACAAATACTCCTATTTACTAATATATATAATATAACAATAAATCATAACAAACAAAGATGCCCACATTAATATTTGACTTAAAGAACTACAAATCATTTTACATGACGACCTTTTGACCCTAGTAAAAGTAATTCTTTATTTGTCTACTTTTGAAATTCTTAACAAAAATAATATGGGGTCTATAAATTAGGAAACCAGAGAAGACAATGAGGGATAATGAGTAGTCCTTAATTCGGAAACCATGCCTTAGTTAGATTTATAGGCTTACCGAGTGATCTATCATGATTTATTTGTTGTCCTTTTCGGTTTTATTTTTAAATGTTGACCCATGGCCGAGCAAGTATAAGGAAGTATAATTTGTTTTAGGTTTTTTAATAAAACACGAAAATTGCCTAAAAATAAGGGGTCTCTTTATTTACTTTCAATTTTTTTAGCACAAATAACGTGGGGTTTCTGTTTGCTTTCAAAGTTTTGACCACAAATAATGTGTCTTTTTACATGCTTTTGGAGTTTTAACACATATAGCATGGATTTTCTTTGCTTGCATCTAGAGTTTTTAACACTAATATTTTGGGTCTCTTTGTCTGCTATCAATTTTTTTAATACAAGGAATCTGAGGTTTTTGTTTTTTCCTAAGTTTTAACACAAAAAATGTGGCTTTTTACTTGCTTTGGGAGTTTTTAACACAAATTATACGAGTTATCTTTATTTGCTTTTAGATTCTAACAATAGTTACATGGAATAGGGTCTCTGTCTGGTGCTGGAGTTTTAACAACAATAATGTTAAATCTTTCTCTGCTTCAAAAGTTTTTAACACAAATAACGTGGTTGTGTGTTTGTTTTTGGATTTGTGAAACAAAAATATTGTGTCTTTTTTTTTGTTTTTAGACTTTTGAAAACTGCAAACATGGGGTCTCTTTATTTGGTTTTGAAATCTTTTAACACAAAAAAATGATGGGTCTGTCTAATTTTCAAAAATAATGATCTTAATTTAGCTTCTGAAATAATTTTTTTTTGAATCGTAAATTTCAAATCTAAAAAAAAGATACTTAAATATTTCATCAAGGTAAAATAATAATAATAATAATCAAGTGTGCACGGTTTTTTGATGTTCCTTTTTTGTACTTTTAGAAATAATAATCTATCACACTTGTTTTCACCCATTTTTTTTAGTTTTTTATTTTAAATAAATAGTTTTTAAAAAATTGGTTGTGGTTGGTTGGTGTGGGAGAGATTTCTTTAATAAAGAATTTTTAAAAAATGTGAATTTTGAAAAAGGACAATTTTTTTATATAATAAGGATCACCAAATTTAAGGAGAGCGGCTTAAGTATCTAATCAGGTGCAAATAAAATGTGCATAATTCGTGAAGATTTTGTACAAGTGTTTGAACTTTTTGAAAAATTCCTTTATAGCAAAAGAGGCTAGAATCACACAATTTGAAATTGGACGGTAAACAAATATATTTATTAAAATAATTGGAGTATTAATTTTTTTCATTTACCTAACGTTTTTTAATTTCTTCCTAGACGGAATCGACGTCTATGTCATATTTTAAAGGCTTTCTAGAAGGACTCGACGTCTATGTCAAATCCGCTAAGATAAATGCACGTGATATATATAGAGCATAGCTTACTAGGAATACACATGAATTGAGTTAGACTATCAATGGTCCGCACAAATACAATCTCAAATGTTACATTAAGCTATAACTTATAACTGATTAGACAAATTAGTTTAACTGACTATACTTTTTCCCATTATTTTACTTTTTGAAAAAATTTTAAATAACTAACCCTCACCACATTCTTAATAATCCAATTACATTTTTAAAATATATAATTAGCTACCTCTTCTTCACTTCTCTCTGAAATTGCAATAAATTATGAACTTCTCATTTTTTTTATTTTATTAAACTGAATTTTCAATATTTACATGGATAAACATCCTATTAGTTGAAGATTTGTAAAAAAAAAGTCTAATGTGACGATATTTAAGAAATTAAATGATGATATGATTGAATGTACAATGTGATAAAACACATAAGCATAAATTCACATAGGACTAGTGAGGATGTCATTTTTTTTATAATTATGGGCACTTGCTTAGGCATAATCATTCAGTTTTATATGAAAATTTTGATTAATATTTGAAATTTGAATTAGTTAACGTAAAATGCAAATTTTAGATTCCCAAGTTTTTAAAAATTAGAAATTTCAGAATTAGTTGCATTGAATATTAGCATTTAATGTATTACAATCTCTTCACATGTGTTGTACATGTATTACATAATAACGTAATGCATATTTTTATATATAATATCAACATTATTAAACTACATAACCCAAAAAGCAGTATTAATAAAAACAAGTATATATCATACATTATTTTTTTTAAATTGAAACAAATGGAATTGATAAATTTTTTTCCATGAAATTGAAATTTCTACTTGGGTTGTCAGTGTTGATACCCTCCACATCTTCAAGAACCAATTCAGCTGGAAATCTTCTCTTAAAATCTGTATTTTGAATTCAATTTTTTCAGGGTTGTACTCTGAGAGTTCAAACACAATTCCATCCCCCTCTATTAGATTGTTATTATCCGCAAAAAATTTCCATCTAGTACTAAATTTGTATTTTGTTTTGGCTCCAGCAAAAGGTAGCTCTTTGTTCATTTTC